CTCTACATAACATCATCAGCGTCAAACTGTGAATCAATTTACACATGTCTGTCTGTCTGTCTGTCTGTCTGAGTAGTGTCTAATGATGACAAAAATGAAACTATCGACTTCAAATTTGGTAGAAACATTGAAAGTTACTACATGCAAGTTGGTGGTATTGAAAAGAAGTCAAATCGATCCAAGAGTGGGCCTACAGTAGTACGTAAAGTGAGCACACTTCTGTTTTTTTAAAAAACTGCACCACGTAAACCTGCCAAAACATGTATTCTATGGACGGTTCTGTTGTACCTGTCGAAAAATGAAAAAAAGTGGACTTTGCCTGCTCAGTTTTATAGTGTGTTTAAATTTCATTTTTTTTTCAAAACCTTTATAAAGGACAGAAGCAAGCTCCAAAAATCTCACAAAGTACATAAATTCTTCGCCAGTTTCGAATTTGGAACGCGCCTAAGAATGTCCATCTATCCAACTATGTAATAACCGTGCTCCAGTTCGCAAAATTAAAAATATAGTCTACCCAAACCCAAACATTTCAACCGATACGCCTGCAACGCCCACAGTCTCTGTAACAAAATTACTTGTTACTAACTTACTACTTACAAAGTGCAACACGCTAACGACATAAATTTCCGCTTTTATTTAAAAAAAAAAAAAAAAAACTTTAGGGTAGAAATCTTTAATTACATCTTAGCTAGCTATAATACAATGTCCGCACAAATGCTTGCATATTAATGAAAATTAGGGCAAAGAAACTTCGTTTAGCCAATAGACTCTTGAGTCTATTTAGCTATGTTTCCTTTCCTCCCGTCGAGCAATCGTGCTTCCTTGCCAATTCTCATGCAATTTCAAAAGGAGAGCATAAGCGAATCAGGTTACAACTTTTAAAAGATACCATGCGAATATATACCGTACACCTACCTGTAAATTGTGCAACAATTATTCTTATCGCCAGCGATTAAGAAAATCTTTTTTAATATAGTTTTTGCAATAGATTTTCTTCATTAGTTAGATACAAAATACAATTTTTATAGTTTATACAAACTTACGTAAGAAAAAAATCTTAAATTACAATTGTACCAAAAATGAGTGTAAAAAATAAGCAAACTTTTTAATGAAGTATAGTACTTAAGTCGAATCATGCATCTTCTGTTACACATCCGAACACCGTTCACTTAATCAACTAAGCATAAATTGCTTACATAATGGCTTATACCGACAATCTTAATGGATATATAGGAATATCTGCATTGAATTTAGTATTATTACAAATATCAGATAAAACTTAAAAATTTGCAACAACATTCTCTCGCAAAAAAAAAAAAAGGAAACAATTTAGTATGATAATAAACGATAAGAAGCATAAAGAAAACTTCATATTTGACAATTAATTTCAATGAATTTAAATCTTAATTTAAGATCTTCAAGGTTTCGTCTGTTTGCATAATAAGCGTAATTATTATAAATAAAATAAAATTATAATTATCATATCAAGAATAGGCGAGTTTATTTAAAACAAAAAATAAATAAATAAATAAAATGTTACAGATGGTGGTCGGTACAGCGAAAGTCGAAACGAGCGAAAGTAATTAAATGAAATTAATTAAAAAATATTTTAAATGTATCTAACTAAAAATTAAATGTTAAGTGAAAATGAGAAAATCGAAAAAATACGATTACTTCCACATTTCGAAATGATTAACCAAAACTGTTTTCATAGTTTAAATAATAGTAAAGCTATCTTATTTGCCTTACATGACTGGTTGCAAAATCTTTGCCTTACTTTAAATATAACTATCTCTTTACTTTTTTTCGTTATCATGATACTGGCTCGCCTGCTTTATTCGTTCGCCATTTCATTTGAGTGAAGTTTCATTTCAGTCAGAGAAATGTCCACTGCAGAGTTAAACTGATCGGTAGCCAACTTTGACATAAAAAAATTCACATTTCTTGCAAAAGCGAATGTATATTTCTGCTCATATTACGAAGAAACTGCAGGCTTTCTGTCGACATGAAAGCTCTCGCCATTTTGTTTACTGCCAAGACCTTTTTGAAGAACTTATGGTTTTCGCCTTACAGCAAATTACGAAACCGGAGAGGATATATAATTATTGAATCCTCCAATCCAAGTTGCTAACAAGTTGGGAAATGGTGACCCAAGTTGGAAATGCTTTGGCAAAGAATGTCATAGCGGGCAAGCTCTTCTTGCCTAAAATCAGCAAAGGAACAGAAATCAAAAAGTAACAAAAAAGTATATAATAAAACTGATAATCTCATTCTTTGGGAATTTTAACGCGTAACGAAAAAATTCACATTGTTATAATAGTGCGAGTCGATAAAAAATGATTTCTTCTTGAAGATGATTCTTCTTGGAGGCTATGTTCCTAAGAAATTCAGACTGTGTTTCGCTAATAATTATTCTCAAAAGATGGAAAATGGTGAACTTACAAAAATAGTAGTTTTCAGCAAAACTGTCGCTTTTTAAGTAAACTAGTTAAGGGAGAATAGACGTAAACTAACATCAATGTTGAAATAATAAAAAAATAAAAACCGGTAAACCTGACATTGTCGGGGACGACAACAAGTCGATTCTTCTGTTTTCTTACCGATACAAAAGAACAGAAGCATGAACTTTTTTGACAAAGAATCTACTGAGATTGTCGCTCTTTTCGCTATAGACAAGCTAAGAACTACTGAAATCCTTATTTTAAATTAATTTGAACTAAATTATTTTAACAGTTTATAATAGCAAAATTAACCAAATTTCCTTTTGGCAAATTCTTTGCTTTACCTCAAAAACAGCGAATTCTTAGCTTTTTTCAGTGTCACGATAACGCCTCGCAATTTGCACCCTTTCATGTATCGGACGCTTTAACAAATGTTCATTCCAAACAGTTTGCCCGTCGTCGAAATGCATAATAAAACCCGCCTCACAGACTTTAGAAATTTTCTGTTTCCTCTTGACACTGAAAAGAAGAAACAATGGGAACGCTTTAAGAAGCGTGGAGCGATGAACAGAATAACTAAATTTCGTTTTATGATTTGCAATGAAATTCTTTATTAACATCAGTTGATCTAAACTTGTAACGTAATGTCCGCCGAAAAAATCCTTCTTACCTGATAACATAAAAGAAAAACATGAATTAAAACCACAGATTATCCGGCTGAGTGGCCGAGTAGGCAGGAGTTTCGACTAGCAACTCAATGCTCGTGGGTTCAATTCTCAAGTGCGGTAGAGTTTTAATAAAGCCGAAAGCCTTAGATGCTAGCGCTTTAAGACTTTAGTCTTAGAATTTATTCTCTGGCTAAATTTATAATAATAATAATAATAATAAACCACAGATCAAATAAAAAAAATATCGAAGATTAAAGGAGCGAAGAACGCCAAAAAAATGACTTCTTCTTCTGCGTGTATTTTGCAGAGTTACCAGAGCGGTAAATTTCATTTATTAAAATAAAATTAGCTTACGTGTAAGTAACAAACCGGAATGAAGTAAAAAAATATTTTGAAACGAAATTACTACAATGAAACGACATGTTGGAGGACTTTTTTGGTAGGAGAGCTTTCTTTCATATACAAAAATGAATCAAAAGTATCTTCTCTTTCCATTTTTATTATATTATATTTATATTTCGTATTTTAACCACAAATTTGTTATACCACATGAAATTTTATAATCGGAATGTGAATTAGGTATGGTACATATATTCTTAGGGCAGAACTCTTAGTCAAATTAGATGATAGCACCGTTTGATTGTCTTTCGTTAGAATTTAAGAATGAAAGTTTTAAATGAATGTAATACCATTCTAAGGCCAAAGGAATCCATAACCGGAGATTTTCGTTTCCTATTTACGTAGTTTGTTTACACACCGGACAGGAATGCGATCGATTTTACGAAAGAGATCTAAACTTCAGTTCATTGCTCGATTGCTTTGATCCTAATAGTCTCAAGAAAAATACTTGCACACATACTCTGAACGCTTTGATCTGCATTTGATGCACTACCTTGGATGATAATTTCTTTCAAAATGCTGATCACTTACCGAAATTGCCAAAGATCTCTTGCGTGGTCATCAACAGGCCATCATATATCTCGGCTTAAAGCCGTTTAATTCATATTTAGATTCATATGATTAAGTTAAAATCGGCAATAACAGTCACTGCACACTCGTGCAGAAGAAGATATCACAGAACACATGTGTTTGAGACCTTTCTTCAAGTCTCGGAATACTAGCGAAAATAGACGAACCATAAATTGGTAATTACACTTGTTTTTCTTTTCAGGTCGCAAATCATCGCAAGTGGTTAAATACAAACTCATAAGACTTTGCCTGTAAATCTGGGAATTGCTTTGTCAATTCGTAGGCAAAAGAATAATAACTTTCCAACAGGCTCAATCTGTTAAGTAGATATCTAAGTCAATTTCTTAAAGGCGAATACTTAATGTAGTGGACGATAACATAAAATTCTACCGCTAAGGGTTTCTTGTTACGACTTACACAAGTGCATTCATCTCCTACTCAGTTTCTAGCATATAAGTTGATTAGGCTTATGCGGAACGATTTGAGATAGAATCCATATTTTATTACACCGATCGCCTCAAAATCACTTTCTGAATTGATTCAAGTTTATCTGTCCCTCAAGTTTTCTTGCGTTGAACCTACACGCTTCAATTTGAAATTCGAAAATATTTCAGAACAAATCACTTTCTCCTAACGCCTTATTTTTAAAAAAAACTCATCATATGAATAGCTGTAATGAGCACAGCGCCTGTCCCACCATAGTGTTTTTTTACTTGTTAGAGGTAAGAAAATCGGTATTCGATGCGATTAGTTTTCCTAGTTTCGGTTCTTTTGACAATAAGCAGGTATTCAAAATCGACTTCCATCATAGATAATTTCTCACTTTCATTGATAAAAACAAAAAAGTCAATAAAAAGGAAATTTTTCAGAGCTTAATGAAAATTCGATCATTTAAATTGCTTATTTAAGAAATTGATGAAAAATGGAAAAACCTCCAATAAATCAAGAAAATAACTGGGATTCGCAATCAGTCGACAATTATCAATCCGTTGATAATATTAAAAGGCAAATGCGGAAAGGTAACTGGACATATATATGGCGACATCCTGAGGTGAGTTTTAATCATCTTTCCTTAGTGACCCCGCATCATATCTCCCCGCTTTCAGATTAGAGCGATCATAAGAGTATTCTTGCACGAACTCATCGATAAACAACCGAAGAATGTTTATGAATTTTCAGCGTCTTTATTTAATTGCAATAATACTCCACTGCTAGTAACAAAGGTAAGCAATGATATTAATTCCTTTCCCTCGTTGAACGCAGTTAATGAAACATGTTTAAATTAAAGATAAATTCGTTAACTGCAAATAATGAAATGTTTAGTTTATTTAATGCGACAAAAGCTGCGGCGTTTAGTTGATAGTTATATTAAGTATAATTTGTTGTTTCCCCTTTTCAGGAAAGGGCTGTTTTCCGTTGAGGAAATATACTTATTAGGCATTTTTACTCTCAATCAATCAATTATTATATCCTTCTATTTCATTTTATATCTACTCCAGGTTAATAAGCAATTACAAATTGTCAATAAGGAGTTGAAGAAGGGCCAATGGTCGCATCATGACTGCGATATGGTTTTCTCTGAAACGGATTCAAGTCATTCCCTTCTTTCATCATCTTCGGTGGGCCCTGATATCGACAGTATGTTGCGCTACGCTGTTTTACTCAGAGATAAAAATATATCAAAAAAATGATTGCATAAACTTATAACTTATAACTTTTCTCCAACTCACCCAGATCTTATTATGTAAACTTTTTTCCAACAATTTTTTATTTTTGTATACTTATACATTACATTATATCTGGTAATAAATCAATTATATAAATTTGTCACCGAAGAAGTTGTCAGTAAACGTTGCGAGACACATTCTAATCTCTTCTGAATCGACAAGGGGTAAAGTTATTCAAAGTTATTCAAGTAGCACATCAGGTGTGTAAGCAATACAACATATGCCGTAAATTCAACGTTTACCCCAAATGTACGAAAGCCAATGATTTTCGTTTTCGCTGGTTGGTTGAATTGGAGATATCCAGAGCCCTAGTCAACATTGAGCTTGAAATGTATTTGCAATGCTTTATGGATGCAGACCTTTTATTAGTTCAAAAATATAAATAAAATGCATTGTCTAACCATAGACTTGTAATGTTTATAATGTGTGCATAGTCTCCGATCTTATATCATACGTCATATCTAATAGCATATCTCTTCGTTTCATAAACAATAAAGCGGAACAAGGGACATGAATACATTCGCGTCACAAGATATTGGGAGCATTTTCACCTTTTCGTAATACTTTCTTGGCAAACGAAACAATTGCTGAGGCAGGTTGATTCATCTCGAAATCACAAAAAACATGACAGTGGTTATCGTGAGCGCCGGCGGTTTCGCGCGCAACAAAGGCAAACAACGTCTTATTTATGGCCCGTTCAATTTTCTCATCCAGCACGAAAACAGTGTACGATTGTTTATCAGGATCTATGGCAATGTATGAAATATTGCTTGATTTGTAGTGGCGACGGAAAAAAACACGTCTCGTGTTGTCTGTGAGAGTTATACCGTCTCCCGAAACTTTAAATTGCACTTCTAAGGGTAAAGGAGGCGGATTAAAAGTGTGTAGACCGTTTACTGCTTTACGTATCGCTTCGTCTCCCGTCAAGGATTCCATATTTACACTAAGTAGGTATAAAACGTTGCAAACAGCACCTTGCTGCCAGAGTTCACGCTGAGTTTGCAATAGTTCGTCATCTTCAGCAGAAGTCGTTAAAGCTCGATGTGGAATTATTAGTCGGTTTGGCAGAGATAACTGATTAATAGAATGTTGGTAAACAAGGGCCGAAAGTGAAGTAAATGTCGGCTCGTTCGAACAGCCTCTCAAGCGAACTCCACGTGCGGTGGGTTCAATAAGAAAATGCCGTACCAATGTGTCGGCAGATGCGCCAGTAACCCCTGGAGGTGGCTGAGCAACGCGTAACACAAGACCAAAGGCATTTTTATACGTAGTCGAGTTCCGTACGAAAAAAGTTCCAGGAGGTGCATTCTGCAATAGAATAAATGCCTCTTCACGCGTCATATTGGATTTATACCAATATTCGGAAGAGTCCTTAGCAAATTTGACAAGATGGGGCTCTACATCGTAAGCCCTGTCAATACTTTTCATACAATTGCCTCTCATCCCTTCCGTATATTTTATTGGTATATTGCTTTCTTTTGTTGGTGAAATTTCAGCACTGTTTGTAGTAAATGAATTCCGCGAAATCAGAGGTGGATATGGACTATCACAGCGATTATCTAACAACGATTTGTGATGAAATGGAAAAGCTGGAGTGCCTGATCCTTTTGGCGATTCCGATTGCAAAAGTTCATCTTTGCTTGGCACAGTGTATTCACAGTGCATTTTATTCTCTTCCATTTCTTGCAAAACATTTTTATTCAGTTTTTTTTGCAATTCGTCTAAATCGCTTTGTATGGCAGCGTTTTGAGCTTCTTGGATTGCTTTGTTATGCTCCTTTAAAGCCTGGTGCCTCCTTTCTTCGAGCATCTCTTTAAATTCTTGACGTGATGGAGTTTTTCTTAATAGCGGTGGGGACGCAGAAATGCTCGATCTTATTGTTCTCCTCACTGTAGATGGACTTGATGGCAATGTCGTTTGAGATGACAAAGGTTTAACGGCATCATAGGCATCCTGGTGGCTAAATTCATTTCTACCGCAAGCTTTTGATGAATTTCCAACGACATCATCGATATCGATGTGGTTTAAATCACTTCTCTGAAAGTTCTTTGGCAAGATTCCGTAGGTAAAAGGATTTGCTTGCTCGCGGGCATGATAAGGAATTTCGTTTTCGCTATTATCACTATCTGGGAATACTGCACCAGCTGAAGAAGCAGCCATTTGAATATGAAACTTTTCTCGATATTCCATTTAAATATGTGAATATTAATTTTATATATATGCTTCTGCCGATATGTTTTTACAATTGTCAAGGTGCTCAAAATATACTACAACTTAGAGCTCGCCGTCATTTCGAACATATATGTATATATATGTGTATATATATATTGATGTATATTTATTCATATATATCGCCAAAATTAATGCGTATGCTTTTGCTTGGCATGTATGCAGAACCACTTGTGTTTTTTTTTTAGAACAATGATCGCGCATCGAACTGCGAACTGTTCTTTTAGAGTATTATCGCTTCACAGCAAACTAAATCACAATAAACTTTTATCTAATCAAACCCAATAAGACACTAGCGTGTAAATGTACCTTCTGATCTGCAAAGACAATCCCAAAGAGCTTTCAAGAGCTTAAAAACTTTTCTCCCCAAATAATGTATGTAATTACTCAGAAAATCTATACATTTTCTCATATGTTTTGCTAACACGGATCACAGTAGTTGCTAAAAACTTGCTTCTTCCAAATAAATAATTGTTAACTAATAATTTTTAGAATAAATATTTGACAAACATGTCCATCAGTAAGGCGCTGACCTGGCTAACCCGGTGTAATTCAGGGCAGACATGAAAACCAAACAAATACTATATACACATGTGGACAGAGAAATAAATACGTATTGTTTCGCGCTGGTTGAGGGTACTTTTTTCCATCTTCCACTTATTATATATTATATTTATCATTTATTTAAACAAATAGGAACTTTTTAATATTTATAAATGCTTTTAAATAAAAGATTTCGAAATTTATATGCACCACCTGCACGAATATATGTAAAAATGAACACCAAATATTCAAAAATATGCGAAAATCGAACGGCAGGTCTCCAAAAATTTACAAAAACTAGTCGGAATGCGTTTAAGGGAAAATAAATGCTGTTTTGTTTGAGAGTTATGCTAAGTGTGAATTAAACTTTAAAAGTTTATTTTTGCAAAATATCGCATGATTCCAGTTGTACAGTAAAATGAGTGTACGTACAAAAAATTAAAAATAAAGCAAAATATTGTACTGAAAAGTGATCATCACAGTCACAGCCAGTAGCCAGAATAATCGAATTTTCAAGGATATCTGCGGCTTTTACAGGTATGGATGATATTAATTAACGCAAGTCGTCATACCTTACTTGTTGAATATTTTTCCACAGTACCACGGGATGAAAGAATTGGGGATTGAAGGTTGCTCAATACGATTTGAACGGATATCGCATCGTTAAAATTGTAAGGCAATTATCGGATGTGGGAAAAATTTTTTCAACTGCTCCGCTGCTCTCAACACTCGTAACAAAATTATGTGGTCGACCTAGTGATATGGCAATAAATTTACAATTCACATTGCGATCGCGCTTCAATAATTTTGCATCCACGTTGCTTATTTTCAAACATAATCTTGGCAGTTCATCTGAAGATGCGTATTCCAGGTCGAATATTTATCGTGAATAATTTTATTTTTATTTCTTTTTGCGGCCGGGATACCGGGATTAGGAATCGCACAATTATTAAGAGGTGTCTAATGCGGATGTCGGGATTTTGCAACTACGCTAGTGTGTTTGGCATACTTCGCACGCACATATTGCCTTTTGTGGTTTCGTAGCAATGTATATAGAATTCCGACAAAGAATTCAATAAAAATTATTTGAATTTTATGCAGAAATAGCATATGTAACTTGACTTCACTTTCCTCAAATTCAAAACAAGCAAGCAAGCCAGAGATACAAAGAATGAATGAGTTATGATTTTCATAA